ACATTATACACTCCTATGCTGGGGAGCACATTTAAGATTTTTTTTTTTTTTAAAATTATAAATTTAATATTTGATTGAAATTGACAAAAATTGAAATGCATTAATAAGAATAATTAAGAGATAATATAAAACTATTTTTAAAATTACATATTCATTACTTTAATGCATGCTATCAATAAATAATTTAAATTTGGTTGCAATGCTTCGATTGGATAAAAAATTAGTGTACATATTGTATAACCTGTGTTGCCTATGTCACAATGACTTACGTCAAAAATGTATCAATCTGCTTAACATTGCGTTTAAAATGTGTACAATTTGAAGGCATTTTTGAAGGAGAAATTGTCTTATTTTATACACTTAATGATGGAAAATTAAATTATAAGTAAGGCAAATCTCACATCATATTTTTTTTCTAGTCAGTATACATCCCAAGATCAATACCCATGCAAGTTTGGTTTAAGTAGGACTTGGAGTTACTTGGAAATAGACCTGCTCAAAAAAACTTTTAGCCTTTTTACTAATCAAGAAAACTTTGGTCAGTTCCAACATCCAAAGCAAGTCTGGAAGTTTTCATCCCAAGATGCATCATCTATGGAAGTTAAATCATAACAGACCGAAATTTTATACAGCTACTGCAAAAACATTACCCTGGTCACTCATTAGGGGTGGGACAATACACAGTTCTTGCGATACAATACGTATCTCGATACATATAACACGATACCATGCATATCTCGATATTATGATAAATTATTAAACTTTCTTTAAAAAAATTAGTATTTTATTTCCTTTTTTGTCTTGACAATAAATCAGCAAATTATTCTTAGACTATATCAAATAATATGTGCTTTGAAATTAATGCCTGAAGTTCATCAATTTCATTGACTAAAAATTTACAAAAACAATATCTATAAACAAGTTGTTTAGAAATAGTTCATCCCTACATGCATTGTCTATGTTTGATCCAGGTAGGGCTTAAAGTTACTTGGGAATGGACTTGCTCCTAAAACTTTAACCTGAATGCCGACATTAACGCGGATGCTGGGGGTGTAGCATAAGCTCATCTCAACTTCGTCGAAGTGAGCTAAAAATAACACCTTATTTCCCCATGTACACTTTTTAAAACAACCAGGAATTGATTGGCCACTGCTGCGGCTGATAACGAAAGTCACATGATATGCTGGATCATGAGCTTACACTTGCTTATATCAGTATAAAAAAGTTTCCAACACCCAAGAGAGCTGGCAAACAATGGCTGCGACTGTTTGGGCCAGCTGCATGATTTTGAAGCTTGTAAATAAAGCTGCTCAAAGAATGAGCAAACTGTCTTATTATCAAATAAAACAGGCCACCTTAGAGAAACCTACAAAGGAATCATAGAGTCAGAGAGACATAATTGCTGTAACAAAAAGAAATACTTAGTATGTGTCTATGCGAGGATGGGGATTAAAGGTGGGGGGTGGGGATAGGGCTTTAAATTAAAGGTAATCAGAGAATACAGAGCTCACCTCAACAAATGTTGTCTTTAAGTAAGGTAAAGTCCCACACTAAACTAATAATCTAGTAATGTGCATCCCTAGATGCAACATTTATGCAATTTTGGTCTGATAGGGCTTGCAGTTACTTGGGAATGGACTTATTTAAAAACTTTAAACTAGTCACTCACCCAGAAAATGTAAGTCAAATCCAGCATCTGAAGCAAGTTTGAGAGTGTTCATCAACTTGATTCATCATTCATGCAAGTTTGGTTCAGAGAGGCCTTATAGTTACTTGGAAATGAGATCTGCTCCAAAAACTTTAACCTGGTCACTTATCCGTAAAATATAGGTCAGATCCAGCATCCGAAGCAAGTCCAGTAAGGTGCATCCTTAGATGTATCATCCATGCAAGTTTGGTCAATATAAGGTTTATAGTTACTTGGAAATGAGATTTGCTCAAAAAATTTTAACCTGGTCACTCCTCTGGAAAATATAGGTCAGATCTAGCATTTGAAGCAAGTCCAGTAGTGTGCATCATTAGGTGTATTATCCATGCAAGTTTGGTCAATATAGGGCCTATAGTTACTTGGAAATGAGACCTGCTTCAAAAATTTTAACCTGCACCAAAAACTTTAACCTGCTCCAAAAACATTAACCTGGTCATTTAGCTGAAATTGCAGCATCTGAGACATTGACTGGTACAATGAAACAACTACAAGCATCTCTGATTGATATAGGGCATAGAAGTACTTGAAAAGAAAACTGCTCCAAAAACTTTATCCTGGGACGCCGACACCGAGAGTATTACATAAGCTCCCCCAACTTCGTTGAGGTGAGCTAAAAATTCAGACTAAATCAATGACATATCTAGAATATACAGATAAAAGAAGGCTGGTAATAGGGCCTGTTGATATGACATGAAATTGTTTTGAATGTATCTGAATATATCTAAAACTTTCCCAAAAATAAAGTCTCTTAGTTCTGTGGATCAAAAGTTATAAATAAGGTAAAGGTTTAATTATGATAATACTTGTATATACAGAATGACACATGGTCTGACAGGACTGAGTAAACATAGGTAATCAGAGATTACAGAACTCTTCTCAACAAATGTTGTCTTTGAGTAAGGCAAAGCCCCTCACTAAACTAATAATTAGGGATGTTAATTTTATTCGGACAGCTTAGTCGAATAGTCAGAGGCTTTAGTCGAATGATAGTCGAATATTCTTTGAAATTTAAATTAATTTTTCATGTTATTTTCACTATTTGTCTTCTATAAACTAGTTTCGCAATATCTAACCTACGCTATTACCATTATACAAGGAAGTTCTGAATCGTAAACATTTACGTAGTAATATAAATACATGTACATGTTTCCAATGTACTTGATTTCAAATATAATATTTACTGCACAATTTATCTAAATACAGGATATTAAACGCTCGCATTTGTCCTTTCTTTTCATAACGCTAGTACATGAACCCATTAACTGAAGCCATTTCTATGTGTCGTGACAGACCTGTGACTGGTAAACAATTAAAGCGTGCCTCTTATGAAAACAGAGAGGGCTTGCCATAAATTTTAATTATGAGATTTTTTGCAAACGATCAATAAAATCTTAAAATGACTGTATGACATTAACATCAGAAAGAAACATCGTTTTATTACGCTTATAACTGTCCCCATATATTTACAATTTTGTAACAATTGTTTATTTATTCTTTATGAATAGTTGCATTACATCAGATCTTATGGAATTGCAGGTTGAAACTTTTTAATTTTAATCTGCAAAACCAAACAATTCTTGAATGCCCTCTCCATTTACACAAATCAGAGGTAGAAAATCCTTGATAATCATGTTTGTGATAGCAACATTTTTCTTTCCAGCTTTGCTTTTTTGGCATTATTGTGGAGAACTTACTAGGAAAGTTTAAATGTGATATGTATATATGTTTGGTGGATTAGGCATGTTCCACTGCAGAATACAAGTTCAGTTTCACACAACCTTGATAACGTACTTTTAACTGTTTTTCCATCCTGACTTCTTTTAAAGTATGCCAAAACTGTAGATTTTGGAGGCATGTTTGCCGAACATAAGTCGACATACATATAATTTCCTTTGAACAGTTAAACCTTACCCTGATTTTTACTTACGAGACCATTGATCTGTAAATGAATGAAATGGGCGGATCCAAGTTTATTACCTTGAATTTAAAATTACTATTAGGAAACACATTTCTAACGAAATAACCGACTACAGAAATTTTAGTCTATAGTCGGTATGATCGAACGATAGTCGAGTACTCAAATATTTGTTGACATCCTTACTAATAATTGAATAATTTAGTAGTGTGCAACCCTAGATACATCATTTATGCAATTTTATGTGCATCCTTAGATAAATCTTCCATGCAGGTTTGGTCAACATAGGGCTTACAGTTTCTAGGTCTTGGACCTGCTCCAAAAAGTTTAACCTGGTCACTCACCTGGAAATTGTAGGTCAGATCCAGCATCTGAAGCAAGCCTGGCAGTGTGCATCCTTAGATGTATCATACATGTAAGCTTAGTCAATATAGTTACTTGGAATGATACCTGCTCCAAAAACATTAACCTGCTCCAAAAATATTAACCTGGTCATTCTTTAGCTGAAATTGCAGCATCTGAAACCTTGACTGGTACAATGAAACATATTAGAAGCATCCTCCATGCATCTCTGATTAATATAGGGTATAGAAGTACTTGGAAGGAAATCTGCTCTAAAAAACTTTAACCTGGGATGCTGACACCAGGGGTATATATACATATAGAGGATATTCAATGCTTTGTAGATGAATATGGAATTTCTTTCGCGAGTAGGACATGATTTTTTGATATTTTCACGAGTGTGAAGCACGAGTGAAAATATCAAAAAATCATGTCTCATGAGTGAAATAAATTCCATATTCATCTACAAAACATTTAATTTTCTGTTGATTACATTTTCTTAGATTTTCCCTTTCCCTCTGTCTATTCGTAGCACAATGTCATAGGCTGTGACGTAATAGTTGAATGGTTGAGACGTCATAGCTAAGTGATTGCGAGATTGAAATGTTGTAAACATGGATTTTTAACACATATTTGGAAAAACTTTGGCAGAATAACTATTAGTCTCTGTCAGGATGGCTCATTAACTTTATCTTATAACAGGCCAGGGATTTATTTAAAAACACTCTTCGTGAAGGGAACAAAAATCTTAAGTTAATTTTGCCACACTTCTAATATTTTTACACTGTGAGAATACCATGCTTTCACACGTCAGAATATCACTTTTATTCAGTAAATAAATTACAGTATTTCACTGTTGAAAATGTAATAAATACTATTATACATAAGCTAGCCCAAACTTCTTTGAGGTGAGCAAAAAACAATATGTCCCCATCTTCATTCTCAGGGCATAAAAAGAAATAAAAAACACTTGTTCTTAAACATAATTTCTATTGTCAATACCTAAATCAGCAATTTTTAGTAAATAAAACTTACAGCATTAGCTGGAAAAGCCCTCAGCATCACAGGAGTTACTCCTTTGTACAGAGCAAAAATGCCTTCATTTCTGAGAAGATGTTTAAAGACATCTCTGATACCATTAGGGTATGTACCTTCTGGAGCTACAACAAAATTCATTTTATAAAATAATTTCATTTTTTCACACATGTTTAATGTATAAAGAGCAATAGACCATTTTTCACTCATATAAAGATGTCACCATATACCGGTGAAGGGCTTCAAAGTTTGACCTTAAAGCTCTACTGACATCATAAAATAGCCGCGAATGTAAACAAACAACCGCCATACTTCGTCAATAGACGCCATATTAGGTGGTGTTCTATTGTTATTTGCTAACTCTGTATACACCTTATTCTTCGTCACGCGTCAATGCATTTCTCCAGTGACCAAGTACATTGTGTACCTCGAAGTGCCGGTGACTGTTTGTAGCCGTTACAGACCTATCGCGAATTTTGCAAGAGATACAGTTGCAACAAGACCAGAACACATCGTTATGGCATCCAATGTAAGAGAATTTCAGTAAATATATGCACAAAACACACAAGCACAACAAATATGAATGCTCACTTCCAAACGTGACCGACACCGCATGGTCACGCATGCAAACTCTAGGTCAATGAAACGTTTGTTTACGGTCAAGCGTTTCAAAGCATTGACTGGGGAGCAGTAATTATTTGTAAAATGAAAGAAAAGTACAATATTTGCATGAAAAGTGTACTTGTTTATCAATTTCACAAGGAAACAAAGTATAATTCCCCAAATTAAAAAAAAAACATCTACCTAAATTGCATATACGCAGTTTAAAACATAATGGGAGTTGGGGGGTATAGGGGTATATATTCTCAATGCTGGCTAAAAATGCAGTCATTTTTATAAAAGAGGTCAATTTTTTTTTCAGTTAACAATTTAATTCTGAAAGAATACCAGTACCATTCCTTCATTTATTTCTATACTTGAATGTGTAGTTGTGTGCCAAGAACCCAAAAAAAAAAAAAAAATAAAAAAAAAAAAAGGTAATGACATTTCCTAATTTTTTTATCATACATATGCCACATGCATCTTAGAAGTTTTGAGGACTGTTTTACATATGAAAAATTGCCTTTTTCAATGGAAAAGTAATTACTTGGACACATTCAGTAGGTAGTTTGGCAAACTTCTTGTGCAATTAACCCTGCTGTTCAAGATCTTTGATCAGTTGATAGGAACTTTTCCTGAACTTTAGAATATAGTTTTATTCCAGCAATTAAAAAACAAATTCATAAAAAAACAGCAAATCTTTTCTCTGTAGCTTTCTTACAGAAGTAAAAAAGTATCAAAGAAACAAACAATGTGCCCAGTTTGGCAATGAAAAAAATTCTCAGCCATAAATGATGCTCACAATATTTCAAGACTATTTATTTTCATCTATAAATGAACAGTTCCCCAGAAATTGTAAAGATCATTAAAATGTTAGGTAATTGACAATAAATTGAAAACTCTTCACTTAAATAAAAAAAATTGTGATACTGTAAGTTCATAAAAATTATTCACAATTTAATTCTGAAAGTTTAATACAGAAACAAAATGAAATTTTCATGCACATCTGTTTACAAATTGATTTCATATACATATACATATATATATATATAATTCTAGACCACTGTATTTGAAAAAATAAAATTTTTCCTATGTTACCTAAATTTAAACAAGGAAATATATATATTTCAATGGTTTTGACAAATTGAAAGTTATTTTAAAAATGTATTAATAATGAAAATAATAAGTACTATATATAAATTTTAAAAGTCAAATGAACCTATGAAAAATAAGTACACTGTACATGTACATGTATTATAAAAATTTACATTTAGCAGTGCTGTCCCTGTGAAAACAGAGGCAAATGTAAAAGCTGCCCATGCAAGAGAAGAGGTTGTACCAATTGCCGAAATCCCTGCTGTCAATTCAAAGAAAACACAAGTACGCAGGAAGTAAGTATGATGGATTGTTATCCTACACATAGGAGTGTTGGCTATCTGTTAATGTTATGATGTTCACCCTTCCTCTATGATAAGGTCCTCCTAAATCAGAATTGGTATACATGTATTTCGTAGATCTCACAATAACTATTACTGTTGTAGTCTGCTCGTTACCATCCTTATGCTAGTCAGAGCACACGCAATGTCAGCAGGGGACATCTTCCTAGCAGAAATCATTTGCTGGAGGCAGCAGCAAGTCCTGAAAACAGAGAGGACAGTCAGTTGGTTTCAACATTGCAAGTATGTACCAAAAATAAGTTATGCTTATCAAATGTTTAATACTTCTTGAAATTTTTTTAAAAGGGTTAAAGAATCATAAATTATATTTTACAATGAAATTATTTTCATCTAAATATATTAACCAAATGAACATATATCTCTTATGTTTCATTTTTCTCACTCTAAATTCTTTTATTACTATACTTGTAGGATATTGTGACACAAATGGATGAAGATGAAATGCGCCAAGTTTTGAAAAGAGCTATAGAGGCAGAACCAGATTTCATAAGATCTTACATCCAAGGTTCATTACAGTATGAAAACTCCAGTTCAGAAATTGCATGGTGTTTATGTGGAGGATGCAAAGTATTTGAGGATCCTCGCATGAACCTATGCTGTTGTCAATCTCCATGCATTACCACAAAACCAGAGTTTAGAAATCTGTGTTTGCGGCATGATGTGCTAGAGATTGCCAACATTCTGAATTGGAGTTTTCATACTAATCTTGAACCTTCGTTTGCCCCCTCTACCTTCCGGAACCAGGCATATCGTAATTTTGTTTTGTGGCAGCATGGTCCTCTTGGAGCAGGAAGGAGAGTTCCAGTGCCATCTTGTGTGACTGTGGCAGTTAGGAGGAGGTTTCCCCAACTAGATGGAGCGTACAGAGGCTATCATTCAGCTAATTCAGACTCTGAATAAAATCACTAGTTTTTAAAAACTTACCACACTTTTTTCTGCTTTTCATTTCTGAAAGTAAAAGCCTTGATCCAGGATTTTCTATGCCTGATAAATTGGCAGAGATGCTGTCAAGGTCTTTGGACTGCTTACTCCTTGTGTAACCTGCACAAGGACTCCCATATATTTCCTTCATGCATGTTACAATAAGTTCTAAAATTAAATTTAGAACATTACCTTTAATAACTTCATGATCAAGAAATTTTCATCAAATAAAGTAATAGCAGTACATGTAATCAGGAAAATTGAATGTAAAAAAAATCATATGAATTTACACTCTTATCCTAAAACAAAAAATTGTTATGTGCATGTATATACATGTACAATAATTTTGTTATAGTTTCAAAACATTCTAAAGGGAAATTGAAACAACTCAAAATAATTAAAATGTATATTGCATAAAATTTAATACTTGGAATGTATGTGTATTCTTTAATTGTCTTCTTTTCATATGCAACCCACTGCTTGGTTTTCCGTGAAAAGTGGGAATACACATGTGGTAAACCACTCTCTGTTACTGCTGGTAACCTATGAAGATGGTTGTTGTGATCCATAACAGCTAACATGTTTCTAATGCTGTAGGAGTCATAGCTGTAAGACACTCTTTTAGGAACATAGTGCAGGAGAGTATGGCTAAAAAAGTTCTCTATAGCCCAAGTTTGGCGACAGTTGACATAAAATGACATGCTTCCACACCATTCTCTGTTTGTAACAATTTTCCTAAAAGATTAACATACTACTTAAAGCTCAATCAAGAATGCAATAATATGTTTAGACTTTAGAGATATAAAGAGTTATGCATAGAAAACTTCCCAAAACACACCTTAGTTCCTGAAATCCTGATGAATTCCTTCCGAGCCATTTTTCATTTGAACATGAGTTTGTAGGGTGATGGCATCTACATTAATGGAAGCGTAATAAAATTTCTTTATGTCTATTCATACAACTATCTAATTCATATACATTGAGTTGAATGTGTGAAAGGTCATATGTGTTTGTGATAGATTGGTGAGGCTTCGAGTTGTATGAATGGTGGATATTTTATAGTGAGGAGTGTGTGAGTAGTTTTACCAGTTTGGTATCAGGTGCCCATGCTTGGCATCAAATGCACTAACTAGCTCACTCCCAATTATCCAAGTGGTCAACTAATTTTGCCAAGAACTCTATATACAAATACTGTGACAGAGTATATCATATCATTTTATGATCTGCTTAATGGAAGTGATGCACAATTTAATATTTAAAGGATTTTCCAATTACCTTCCTCCAGGCCAAAAGTGTTGGTTGGTGACATGATGAAGAATGCCAAACCACCTTTTTACTAATTTTTCAACTTTCCCTTTTGAAGTGCTACAGCAGTACCAAAAATGATTCACTACAGGTCGAATCCAAGGCAAAAGATCTTTATTTGCTGCCTTTTTAGCAATTTCTCCCAACATAAAGGCTAGTTTCTTGGCTTTGTGCCAGATGTCTAAACTGTGCTGAAGATGTTTATATGGATCTGTACCTGTCAAATATGCAATATTGGTTTACATGTACTTTTAATATTTATTATTAATTATTTATGTTTATCAAGATTTCTTTTAATTTAAATACTTTGATTGTAAAATGTCTAGCCTTGTAGGGTGTATGTAAATACAGTAAAACTTGTCTAACCTGGCTGCCACTGGTTCCAAAGAAACTGGCCATATAAGAATATATTCCGGATTAGACAATTAGTGAAGGGGACTTGATGTTTAAATCATTTTAGACAAAATTTTAGAATACACATCCAGATTAGACAAGTTTTATTGTACCAGTAATATGATAAAGGTTTACAGTTACATATTTCATTGATTTATTTTATGCTTTTATAAGTAATACTTTTAAATTACTGAAAATGCACTTACGCATTAAAGAAATAATATTTCTACTCGCATCTGAAATGATTTCCCACACTACATATGGTGAAGCACTAACAATATAATTGAGACCCCTCTCAATTAGAAGCCTCTCCATTTTGGGACTGTGCCGTCCAACCTCACGAGAATCCCCAATTTCCATATGTACAATGTTTCTGGAATGTATGTCCATAAAAACTGCTGTAGACTTGCTGGCACAGAAACCTTCAAAATTTTCTTCATTGTTAGTGTGGTAAAAATTTACTCAATAAGAAATGTGGTGAAAGTATATCAATCAACATACTCAAATTAAAAAAAAAGAACAAGAAGGCAAGAAGATTACAAGTTTACATTCAAAAGACAATATATATTGCTTTGCAACTTGTGCAATATATTCATTAAACTTTTTTTACAAGCACCACATAAGCATTAAAAGATACTATACCTGGGGTGTCATATCTTACATCCACAGCCAGGCTAAGAGGAATCTCTCTCAGATTTTCTGCAACTTTTTCCATGTGCTTTTTAAAAACTTTCTGCACAGCAACCTAATTCGCAAAACTACACTGTAGTGTAATAGCATATAAAATTTATGAAAGAACTGTATTTTACTATGTCCTTGATTTCAATTCATATCCCTGCATTGACTTTACATGAAACTTAAAAATTTTATTCTTTGCTTTTGCATATAATTTTTACCAAATATAATATGCCCAATATGAAGACAAAATTTTATCAAAAATTAATGCAGAAAATATTACAATAAATGAGATTTTTTTAAATGTAGAGAAAATCCATTCAAGCATTACTGGTAATACATACTCTGTACTGAAGTTGCATTCTGTAGAATTGTCTTGCTGATCCTATTGCAAGATTAATAAATTTGGCACCCATGGTAAACTGATCCCATGATGCCCCAGAGAGAAGAACCATGAGTTGCAGCAGGATTGCAGCAGCACTTCTCCCTCCATAAAATGGTGTAGAAATCCATTTTCCTACATGACCATTCTGACATACAAATGAAGTGGAAAATGTGAAATTCTGTTAAATATTACATGAAAAAGTGTATAGTTATATATATTTCTTATATTCAATTGATGCTTCTCTCTTTGTAAACTTTCCTTTTTCAAAGTTTCCCATAAACATCATTGATACATTTTTTTTCATTCTGTCTCCTTATAATATTGAAGGCTTATAATGTAGATTGTCATTTTTTCTTAACAAATCCTTTATTTAAATCATGAATTTCACTACCTGTTTATCATTTCTTTAAAGTATTTTACTTCATTATATCAATGCAATTAATAAAAAAAAAAATATAAATATGCTAATGTAAAGTAGGATTGAAGTTAGCCTCAATACCTCTTAGTCTAAATGTTCTTTTCATTACCCTGGTAAACTTTAGAAATGAGCTTCAAACTGGTGTGCAATACTTACTCTGCAGGTAAATTTATACTTTACTCCTGCAGCTATTTTCTCTGCTTCAACAACAGAAGAGGGGAGTATTGGTCCAACACACTCTTTGCAAGTGCTCCTTTTAATAAGGTCCAATATTTCCCTCTCTCCAACAATAAATCTTCTATCTGAAAGGATATCCACCTCCTCCTTGTCATATTCATCAGTATTCCTTGAATGAAAATTTAAAATACAATTTTTTAATAAGAGAAAATAATCAAATTTAAGATTTAAATCTTTTATGTTACATGCTACAAGCAATCTGTGATTCAAAACAAACAAACAAACAAAAAACACTGCAATTTTACAAGAATATTTTTTTACATTAGGGGGAACAAATCGCTGCATCCAGTTCCTAAGAATTTGAGACATCTTAATCATGTCAAAAGACAGTAAAATTGTAAAATTATTCCACTGTGTAGTAAATTGTATAGATTACATAATGTAGTAATTGCATAAATTTAAGGAATCACTGTCTAGTTTGTTGGGTATGCCAGGGCATCAACAATAGTTGGAAACGTCGAATATAATTTGCATAAAATGTTGTCTAATAGATTTAAATTACACGAGGCCTCCCAGGTCAATTTCAATAGTTCCTGCCCACTGACGTCAGACACAAAGACAGGCGCACAAGATTTACATGCATATTAGGCCTTCTTAGCTCCTGACCTTTTGCTTGGCGAAATTTACATTCCGGTAGAATTATCAAGAAATCAAGTCACATAACTTTCAAAGAGTTATCACAGAAAAAACAAATAGAAATGGAAATACAGTCATGCATGTAAATGTAAGTGACATTTTATATCAATGATTTTTACTGTGGGGTAAAAAATGAATGTTACATATTTTTTTCCTATCTTAGTTTTTCATTTACAGCAGATGCTATTTTTAGTTATAAAAAATCCTAAATTTGTTACTTATTTTGCATTACAGTGTTTGCCTTTCACAAACCTTGATATATCTTTCCACATCCCATATTCATCTTCTTCCTCCTCTTCTTCATCACTTTCACCATTGTCATCATCTTCATCACCAGAAGATCCAAATATCTCTTTCATGATCTCATTTATTTGCTCAGTATCCTGTATGCATGCATGTTTAAAAGACAATGACAGTATATTGACATTACTGTAATATTTACTTAGATAAATTATAATGCATGAAAGGCTGGTTTCTTTTTTTAAAAAGTCTCTCTTCAACAACACAAAAACAGACAAACAAATCCCATAATTATTTCTTTTTTTCATGAAATGGTAAAATGGATTGGGTTGTGCCACAACTGAATGCATGCGTTACATGTAACACAGCACTAGTAAATATATTATATGAAGGTAGTCAAGTCAGACAATGCATCTATCGCACTTGTATTAAAGAAAATGAATAAGAAACGATAAATGAATATTACTTGCTTGAAGATTAGCAGTGCACGGAAGCTTCAATATATCACTTTTGCATTCTAGATACTACTTACATGCTGTTCTTCCATTTCTTCATCTTCACAATTATTAGCATTGTCAGAAATATCGATGTCCATATTTCTGATACTCTAAAACAATATAAAACGCTTTTATTTTACAATTCGCTAATCCATCGTCACTTTTATTCGTGAACTACAATAATAATTGCTCCCCCGTGTTTACACATGTGCTTTTGGACCTACTTTCATTTTCACTCAACATTTTCCTCTGCGCATGGGCAAAACATAATACGGTCAGTCCGTGGTGAGTGCAGACGTTTGTCGGTCTGAGGTCCACATTACATACTCTTTACATAGTAAATATATTGTTTTTATTCGTAATTGAGTTTTTGAGATGCTTTTGCATATGCTCGTTTATCTTACCTTCGTGTTGGAAATTTACAACCAGGAACTTCAGTTTTTCAGTGCATGCACATGGACTGCACAAGCACCAACTTCTGTGACCGTGTAACTGCGTGTTGTCAGAGTTGCTCAACACCAAGAATGCTTTCAAAAGTATCTCAGAACTCGAGATACTTCGGAACTTTTTATTTTATTGAAAAATTCTTAGGTGTTTTACTAATAGGCCTTGGGTAATATCCGATGCGATTGGAACCGACTGACAAAATCAGTCGTGCGTGAGCTCACAACTGGGTAGTACTTGGTTAGCAGATAGTAGGGTTATCGAAAACTAATATGGCCGACTCCGATTTGGCATTTAAAAGACTTCAGTAGAGCTTTAAATCGGCACTAAGGGCCATTGAGCAGGGAGGGATCTTTATCGTGCCAACGCCTGCCATGACACGGGGCCTCAGTTTTTAAGGTCTCATCTGAAGGACCTGCAACTTTCACTTCAAAGTGCCGAATACATGGCGAAAGAACAGTTGCTACCCATTTTTTATCGACTTAGGTCAGTCGCAGCCGAGATTCGAACTCACGACCTCCCGATCACGGAGCAAGCACTCTACCGACTGAGCTACCGTGAAAGGTAGAATTGATTAAAATGTAGTGACATAAAAAAATGAAAAAAACAAGGGCATCGCAAAGCTGAGCATCCCCTTGCAAAGTGCATATAGATCTATAAATCAACGAAGCATTCAACATCGATCCCAATGCAAATTATGTCACTTCCATTTCGCACAAGGACAAACTAACACACACACACAAGTGCATTACTATATTCCCTACAACTTCATTGTGAGGGGTTAAAAATTTACATCAAAGTGTCATTTAACATCATATTCTTGTTGTAATACAGCATTTGATTGGATAAAAATTTACTTTATATTGTATAAACTTTGTTTCCTAAGTCACAATAATTTGCCTTAAAAATGTATTGATCCGCCTGACGTTACAAATAAATTTTGTACAATTTGAAATCATCTATATTAAATGAATGCATAAGGAATGAATTTAATAGCTTCTAATTTATACAGTATACTAGAAACTGTTTTGGAGCAGTTAACACTTTTTTTTATAAACAGCTTTTTAGTTTATAAGACATTTACTGCCCTAAACAGTTTATACCGTATGAATTTGGTAGCTATGAAATAGCCTAAAATATTCTCAGCATTATATTTTTTTTAATAAACACTTTTTAAAATAAACATTAAATAAACTTTTTTAATATTTCTTAAACTTTTTGACCAAAACTATTCATTCTTTTTATACAGCCTTCAGCTTTCAGAGTATCAGTAGCATATTTCTTGACCAATAACATGCCGGCTTAAAAGACAAATTAAAACCCATGTGACATCACCAGTATAAATACCAACTGCCATACTTCAATCACTGACATTTTTCTTGGCACACATAGTGTGGGTTTCAGGTATACTTTGAAATATTTTGTTTAAATTTTGAGTTAGACGAAGTCTAAAGTTCACGTGTTTTATACACATTTATTTTTCAGTGTGCTTATTGTTTCTCAGACTTGGTCTGGGTTTTTGACATGGTACACATGAATTTCAAGTTCTGTTGTGAAACGTATCCTATATACATGTCCTCACGAGAAAAATCTGACATCCTCTCAATTATGGCAGACTTGGGTGATGAGTATTTTGAGGAGTTTGATAGCGAGGACATTAGAAAGGTGGAGAAAAGACTCGCTTCTAAAATAAAAGAGATAAGAGCATTAGAATTTAGGGAACTGCAGGTTCTGCAATACAAAATGATAATGAACAAGGGCCCTCAACGTCGATGGCGAAGCTGTCCTCGGGTTGTAAAAAAGGTAGCAAACCTAAAGAGCTGGCATAATCATGTTATTCAATTCATGAATGGATTAAGTTTGATGTACACATTAACCTCATTACCTATATAAAACTGATTTTAATGATTAAAAGCATTAAAAAAATGATAAAAAGCATCATATAGTTAGACAAGACTTAAATTGACTTATCACAGAAAGCGAATTGAATAACATGAGTACCGTAAATCTGGAAATTTTTACGTCGATTTATTTTTGCGAATCTGGGTCAAAAAGCTGTTGATTAATTTTTACGTTTCAATTTTTTGCGAATTGACATTCATTGTGCTTAAATTAAAAAGTGCTTAAAATTTTCATAGCAGTTTATAAGTTTCGCATACGCATGTACATTGTACATACAATATTAAACGATGCCAACATTCAATAATCGGATTATGTACTTTCTATAAATTACACGTGTACATACAATACTAAACAATACGAATGTTCAACAATCAGATAAAAATATTAGAATTTACGAGATAAAACATCTAAACTATTTAAAGTTTTCATAACATTTAATAAATCATGCATGTACATAAAATAGTTATGTAAAACGATGTCAGCTTTAACAAACCTTCAGATAAAACTTTTGTTCTTAAATGGCTGGCCTCTCTTAGAGAAATAATTTAAAAAGAGACATACTGCCTGTCAAATCATCCGTGAAGTGAAGGCACTCTCATGCACGGATTATCACAGGTAATTAACTTGTTAGTATAAACAGGTTTCTTAAAACGACCACTGCTTATGAACACCTGTTCATCTTGTTAAAAATAGCAATTTTTTTGTTTTCATTCTTTTGTTGTTGATTTATTTTTAAGAAATATATTTTTGCGAATGCAATGCACGCGCAAATTTGCTAAAAATTTATCTACAGCAAAAATTTCCAGATTTACGGTATATATATACAGATGCAACATTATAAACATCTCTGAAAGGGGAGATTTTGCTATTTATTTCATACCTTTTATACGATACGAACAGTTTGAACAGTGAAATCCCAATAAGTTATTTAATACTGCATTTATTCCGTAAATGGCATACAAATTAATATGTCATATATGTGATAATTTTTAGACCCAAATACTGTACAGGAGTCTTTAAATACTGGAATTTGGGTGAAAATACTATACATTGTTCATCAAAAAACTTTACAAAAAAAATGTACAAAATATCGACCAAAAATCAATGGAAGCTAGAGGTTCATTTTTTATTAATAAATTTCAGATCAACCAACAAGTGTACCACTGCATGCAGTGTTATAATATTTAATTACTCATTTCAAGGAACTTTTGCAGTTTTTAGAATTTCAGCAATCCCAATGGTCAATGCTGAATTTGGTAAAAAGACTTCCATAGTACATGTAGTGTTAAATGCACGAGTCTGGGCATCTCCAGTCATCTGCATATTTTTTTCAATGATACTATTAGCATTTCTCTGTGTTAGAATGGACAATACTTATCCTGCTTATGCCTAAGCAGAGCAAAAAGAAAAGTCATGGCTTAAACTTCGTGTTGTTGTTACACTGTTGCTCTGATTATTGTTGTTTTCTTTTTGATTTTGTTCTACTGACTAAATTTTAACTACCGTATTTGGCTGAATATAATACGCACTTTCTTCCTGGAAAATGTTTACACCACAGTAAGATTTTTATAGTTTTTTCTTTCAGGTGAAACATGGCTATTGGACATATTGTAGTATTACCTAGAGACATGGGCAATTTCTTGTTGTTTATCGCTGTATTTAGAACTTCAGAAAATTATTGTTGGAATGTAGGCTTGTTGAAAATGTTATATTTATAATCTGTTGATAATGATCATCTGTTGTTAAAAGATATTAAAAACAAGTTACAATTAATTTGAGCTGCATATTCATTGTCTACGTGTAGGCCACCATTGACGATGTTATCTATAGATGTTCACGCATCCTTTGCCACGTGCTTGCGTAATCATAGTACACACGTACCGAATCAGACACTTAGTTGGAAAAAAAATATTTGAGCAATTTTATAATGAAGTACAACAATAGGCGCAAGGGCCTTAAATCACTCTTCTGATAAACTGTACAACCTATCACTTCTATTTGAAGCCTCTTAGTATCCTGTATACATTTATTTAGATACAGCCTTGAAATTCCAAAGGTAGGTCATCATGACCTACATTTTAGATGAAACCCTCTGAGAACCCAAAATGATTCTAAGCCAATTTGTACCTGAGAGTAGGTCACAGTGACCTACTTATCACTTGTCATTCTCTGAGGAGCCAAGATGCATCAACTAAGCCAATTAATACCTAAAAAAATTTTGAAAATTATAGCCATAAAATTTCAGATGACATTCTTTGAGGACCCAAGATGCATCAACTGACAAAGTTTGATTATTCTAAGCCAATAAGTACCTGATATATTTAAATATAGCCATAAAATTTCAAAAGTAGGTCACAGTGACCTATATTTCAGTCAACTTACTCCGAGGACCCAAGATGCATCAACTGACAAAGTTTGATGATTCTAAGCTAATTAATACCTGAAATATTTCATTATAGCCATATAAATTGAAAAGTAGGTCAGGGTGACCTACTTTTCAGTAGACGTACTCAGAGGACCCAAGATGCATCAACTGACAAAGTTTAATGATTCTAAGCCAAATAGTACATGAAGTATTTAATTAAAGCCATAAATTTTCAAAAGTAGGTCACGGTGACCTACTTTTCAGTCGACCTACTCCGAGGACCCAAGATGCATCAACTGACAAATTTTGATGATTCTAAGCCAAATAGTACCTGAAAAATATTAATTATAGCCATAAAATTTCAAAAGTAGATCAAGGTGACCTACTTTTCAGTTGTCATACTCCAAGAACCAAATATGCATCAACTGACAAAGTTTGATGATTCTAAGCCAATTAGTACCTGAAATATTTAAATAAAGCCATAAATTTTCAAAAATAGGTCACAGTGACCTACTTTTCAGTCGACTTACTCTGAAGACCCAAGATGCATCAACTGACAAAGTTTGATGATTCTAAGCCAATTAGTACCTGAAATATTTAATTATAGTCATAAAAATTGAAAAGTAGGTCGTGGTGACCTACTTTTCAGTCGACCTACTCTGAGTACCCAAGATACATCAACTGATAAATTTTGATGATTTTAAGCCAAACAGTACCCTAAATATTTAAATATAGCCATAAAATTTCAAAAGTAGGTCATGGTGACCTTCTTTTCAGTTGACATTTTTGGAGGACCCAAGATGCATCAACTGACAAAGTTTTATGATCATAAGCCTTAAAATGTCCAAAATATGTCTCTAAAATGATTTGAAATCGAATACCTGCAGAGTTCAAAAAGTAGGTCACTTTGACCTACTTTTTAACAAATATGTTTTATGGCCCCAAGATGCATCATCTTACAAGATTTAATGATTCTAAACCTCTTAGTTTTCAAATTAATGACCTTAAATATAATGTAAAAGATTAGCCATAAAATTCAAAAAGTAGG